TTTACGATGCTCTCCGCCCTAGTTATTTGCAATTGCATTTTCCCACATTCATGGCAAATTTGTTTTGTTTTGTTTTAAAGGAGTTTGGGAAACACCTAGAAAGTGTCTGGATCCAGGAATGGAGTTGATTGGGGCATTTTCTAAAGAACACAGGAAGGGTGGGCCCCAATCTGTATTTCCTTTATTTGGATATAGAGAGGTTTGGAGGCTTCTACACAACCTAACTCAAATATAAAACAGCACAGAACTCATTCAAACAAATATTACAGCTATTCTTAATCATCTCTTATTTCTTAATTTACATTCTGTTAAGAGTAGTATCCCTGAAATGTAATGGAGAATGTTAACACAAGAAATGTCCAATAGCTTTAGCTTTAGGATGCAATGCTGTGTTGAAGATCCACCAGCTGAGAAGCAAAAGAGGCTGGCAGATATGATGGCAAAATGTTTGGGAAAAGACAGGGTCGAGCACAAAGAGGAGCATATCTATCCTATACCCCCATCAGACACAATATCTCCACAGATAGGACAGTTTTGCAACAGCTCTAAGACTTGGCACCAAGAATTTCTGCCCCACTCCTTTTAAAGGGACACAGAAAATATTAAAACAAGAAAATATTAAAACAAACAAATACAAAGCAAAACAAAAACCTTCCCCTCCCTCTATGTGTAAATGATCCTACATCCACTTACCTGACAAGGACAGGGTGCAGGATATGGTGCCCTTCACTCTTTTGTATTGTGTAAAATGGGCTGGCAAAGACAGCACCAGAGGCACAAAGAGAGGCCAGATTCCTCCTCCTGTATAGGTTTCTACTTCTTTTTCCTCCCTTAACCTGGAACTGGCTCATGAGCACTGATCTTGCACCAGAAGTTGGGAAAGTCAATGGGTGGAATAAAACCGGATGCTGTCTGCAATCCCCTAGGCAGTGTGGTTGGCCATTCTCAGGGAAGAATCCTGGGAGCAGTGGTTCAGAAGTAACTTCCCCCCAACCTCTGCCACTGGGCAACAAGCCATATGCTACTTATGGGGAGGTTTGAAGAACAAGTAGAGTGAGACTCTTTAAGTCCTTCAATCAAGCTCATATTTTTCTGGCCTCCCATCGGCACTTCCAAATGAACAAGGGTCTGGTGGATACTGCTGCTAGTTCTGTTGCTATGGCAAATTACTCAGAACTTGGGAAATCGGTATAGTGACACGCTGAAGCCATTCCTCGCTGAGTAATAGGTGCTAGAAAGCAGCTCTGGACTGTTGTATTAAACTATCACTATTTGAGGGGATGATGATACTATCCATTTCTCTGACTGCTTCCCTGTTATTTTTCTTCAGTCTTTGTACAGTAGTCTCCATTCCTGGTCATCATTGTGACATTTTATTTGTACTCCCTTTTTTCTGCAGCTTTTGACGATTCATGTTGTTGTTTTTTAGTGTCTCCCACACAATGATTTAAAATAAAAGATATGTGAGGTGAGTTCTTGGTTTTGTGCATTAGTTTTATACATGCTGCTATTCAACATCCCGAAATCATATGGGTGATATAATTTCATGCACACTGAAGTGCTGAGGGCTGTGTAAACTGACCGGGACACTGAGAAACGAGGTGTCCCCATCGTCATGTTGGAGAAACCCTGAATTTTGCAGAACCCTGCTTTTTAAAAGCCAAGGGGCAGCGAAACAGCGGATACACACGGTAGCTTCAAGATGTTGTTTATCTGTGAGAGGTGGGTAGTGGTACAGCCAGGATGCAGTGCCAGGGTTGGAAGAGCAGCCAGCTGGCACCACGGAACGGTTCTCTCGCTTGTGTACAAGACGAGTCGGCCACAGGCGTGGATCGTGGCCTGAAACCTCTCCCTCCGGAGAAGGGCCGGCTTTGGCGGGCTAGCTACCTAGCGGTATAGGGCGCGGGAAACGACAGGTCTACCCAAAGAAGCTCATCTTGCTTGGAGCTCGGAATTCTGTGGGGCCTTTTTGGACCATCCTGGGGAGGGAGATGCGGTGGATCTTTCTTTCTGACTTTTTACCGGGCGCTTTCGATCCCCCCCTTTCTCCCCCCCCCGCGG